TAAAGATCCAACGTGAATTTTAGAAGTTATATAGACAGCATTATTTCTTTTCTGGTAATTGTCATATTTGCTTCGCTTCTGAAGACTCCTGTTGGTTATTTTTCTTTCTGGTTTTATTCCAAATGAATTCTTATAAAAATTACATACATATTACAATTATATTAGAAAAAGTACTTTCAACATATTTAACATGTCATTTTTGTAATACATAGCATCAATAACTTCTTAGATTTCTTGAAGGAAGCATTCATTAACTCCTGAAGGCTGAAGAATGAATTGGTCAACAGCAAATATATAAAGCAATTTGAACATTTTAACAATTATGGTTATGTTTAAGACTTTAAAATTATAGACAATATAAATGTTTAAACTTTTGAAATTCATACAAAGTAAATAGCATATCTACACTTATATATAAAAAAGAGAGAGAGAGAGAGAGAGAGAGAGAGAGAGAGAGAGACCCACACAAAAAAATGGTAGGTGGAAGTTTCATATTTATACAAAGTGCAGTCTTATGTAGACATGACGTCAAATTCCTAATAAAGAACTCATTGATTACCAACAAGAAAATCTATTTCTGGCATCTAATACAGCTTATCTCTAAGAACAAGGAAAATTTTGACAGTCGTAGTATTTTCTTAAAAAAAAAAAAAAATCCAAAAAAATCTATTTAGGGCAAGTACTAAATAAAATGAAGATAAGACTTGATAAAGATGAACAAAGTTTGTAAATTGACATTTTTTCCCTCCTTGACTCATTCTCAACAAGTGGTGTTTGTTTTACTGATGAGGGAAGTTTGTTTATAAATAGTCTAAATACCTGATAATCTCATTTATCAAATATGGTAGAAATCTTTTTCAGATGAAGGATGGTTATTTTGGGATCTAGTAGCAAAAAATAAAAGAAAATAAAACTATGCTGATAAACTAAATGGAAAATAATTTTTGGTTTGTTTCATCATACAAAAAGATGAAACTGATTATCCCAGTTCACATCTTCATTAGAAACTAGATTTGGAATATAAATCCAAAAATGCTAACATATTATTTCAGTAACAACTTTAGTGGATATTATTGGTATCCATCTACCCAGGTTTTGTCACTATCTAAATGTGGGGATTTCAAATATTTTACAACATCTATTAAATGAAACATAAAATGTTATTCTTTATAGAAAATTAGAAGCATAATGTTGATTGAAATAGCATCTATACCTCACCTGTACATTGTTAATTGGTTCCAGGTCACATACAGTATTTTGATTAAAATAATCAAAAAACAATTTTAAATTTATGTAATCTCAAGTAAGTAAAACAACCTAAGACAAGTTTTATTTTTCCATATAATATTTAAGAAAATCTGATGTATCTTTGAAAAAGACCTGAAATGACTAAATCCGAGGTATCACTGTATATTGCTATCCGAAATATACAATAACAAATGTTCAATTTTCCTTACAGTGAAATTTGTTTTATCAAAGTGTTCAAAATGCAGTATGAAATGTGTGGACAGACTTACTTTATGACAGTCAACCTAATACATTTGTGACTGTGTAAACAAAGCCTTAGTCAGTGGCTGCTGGATGTCATCTTCTGCTATTTGTGTGGGTGTATATGTACATGTAAATCAAACTGGTTCACAGAATTGTTTTGAACATTAAACAGTATGGCTTTTCTTTTTTTTTTTTTTTTTTTATATAATCATAAAAAGAGAAATCTAATTTCACTTTGAGAGGTACAAATTTTTGTGAATTGGTTAGAAAATAATTTCACCCTGACTCATGAAAATCTTTTTCTTGAATTTGTGGGAGTTGTAAAGGAAGTTATTGTTATTTTCAAAATGGTCCAAAAATAACATGTGCCAGGTCTACAACTACGCCCACCAAATATTTTGGCAGTATTTGTCTTTGTAATTATAGCTTATCAAACATACTGAGGGGGGTTTATATATTCTATATATGTGCAGTGCTTAGCAGAAAATGCTCAATATCTGTGATAGAGCTAACATTCAGTTGCATGAATGGTAGTTTGTAACCCTGGGTGTCATGCTTTTATGATCATGATTGCAAAAGCATGAAGACAGGAATTACAAACTACTATTCATGCAACTATATATATATATATATATATGATAGAATAAGTAGGAAATAGATCTCAATCATGTTTCACTATTATTAAAGCTTCAGAAATCCAGATAGAAATAATTAAAAATATCATTTTGTTGGATTTTGATCTCTCTCTCTCTCTCTCTATATATATATATATATATATATATATATATATATATATGTGTGTGTGTGTGAGAACAGACCAAGAGATCTAATTTCTATAATATGATTCTAAACTTTGCTGACAGGGCAACATCTAAATTAGTATACTGCACTATTTGAGCCCAAGTTAAATTGCAGTTGGTCTTATTGCAAAATCATATGAAATAAACCGTCATATTTATCATGTACGATATCTGTAGTTAGATAAACTGTTAGTTTTTAAGAAGATATTAACCAACGTTTTGGATATGACTATGAACACAAATACTTATCCACTTTAAAGGCAAAAGCTGTATGTTATGTTTTAGAATAATGCTTACTGGGAAATGTTTATACTGCAATCATTTTGCACAAATTTTTGAGCAATATTTAGTTTAGTTCAATTTATTATTTTTAAAATTTCAGCAATAAGACTGAAAACTTAAAATTTGTCATTAATTCTCTAATGACATAAATTTTGATTGAATTTGCAAGTTTTCATTTCTTTTATGAACCTTGGTTGATTTCCCTATAATTCCCTTCAAATAACATTAGTAATCAGTTTCAGCTATCCTGAAACCTGTATCCACTCTTCTCAACTAAGTTGAAATTGAATTCCATGGAAGTGAATCACCCACATTTCCCCTCTATTCCAAATATAACAAGAAGAGTGTTTATGTTCCTTCTTTTTTTTTTTTTTTTAGACCTGAATAGAAGGACAGGTCTAGTAGGGGGTGGGGTCAATCCTGGAAGAGTTTTGGGGGTGGGTAATCCTGTGGAGGACTGTGTGTGTTTGCATGCTGTTGTATTAGAAACATGTGTATAATTCCTGGTAGAATATTAAAAGGCCCAACTACAAGAAAATGGACGGACTTGAATTAAGCCCAACTGAAGATGAAGAAGACAAACAAAACATATTATATATATATATATATATATAACAAATATATGTATTAAACAAAACAATTTTACAATGGACATAGACAATAATATTTGTACGTGTGTGTGAATATTTGTGTTCTTTGGCGAATGTTCATGGCGTCTCCCACAAATGGGAAGACACGGATCTTCTAAGAGAGCTTACATTGTAGTCACTGAAATGAAGAAATGCAAATAGGAATGAGGCGAGAAGTCACCCAGTATTTATAGTATAGGGAGAATGACCCCTAGTGACAATTTGGGAATTAAGGAGGAGTTAACTCTGACAATCCTCATGCACTCATCTGTTAGCCATTATGACATACCCCCAAGATTTTGTTTATTTTAAATCAAAATACCTGAAAATGGAACAAAGCATAGCAATGTAGATTCTTTTTTTTTCTAATTATTTACAATACCAAGTGAACATGGTAATGGTAATAGCCATTTCCTTGTAAGGAAACATTTTGCATTCATTGACTGAGCAGCCATTTCTGCTTTTGGTTGAAATTTATAAAACGTTTCTCTTAAAATATTTTTCCTTCCTAATGTTTTATTTGAAGTAATGTGGAAGGTCAACATTTTCTGTTCAAGTCATATGTGAAATCCATTTCAATTGCTGCTGCTGTTGAAAGTCCTCAAATGATATGGTTCATGGTATTTGGTCAGGTTCAAAGAAGGTTAGACCTTGCTAACACCTATAAGTTTCATTTGCTCAAAGCCATTTTTGACCATTGATCTGAGAAAACAGTTGTATACAGCCAACAGTTCAAATATTTCTGAAAGAGTTTGGCACCATGCATGACATCCATATGAAAATCTTTATCTGATGAGACCATTTAAGAACATGAGCATTTTCAAGCTAAAGTTTTGGATTTGCAGATGGTGTCAGGGTTGGTGCCATCACTGCTTTCATTCCAATTCCAGATTGTAGTTTCTGATATAATGGAATAACCAGTCACCCCCATGAATGATTACACTATAGATAGTAAGTACTTATAAAGTCAACCGTCTACGAGAGACTTGAAGAGTGAGAGAAAGAAGACACAAACACATCCGACCTTCCAATTGGTGGCATTCACTGACCTGTCTGTATAACTGTACCATATTTCATATTGAACTGGTTGTGTACAATAAACCTTTCTTCTATTATCCATCTGGTGTTAAATATTTATTCCCTTAACATGGAATATAACAGTTTCTGTTTTGGAAAAGTTTATCTCAATACCTCTTTCTTGAAATACTTGGTAGGAGGAGGTTAATTTTTTTTGTTCAAGAAAGATGTAGGAAATTTTAATTGAAATTCAGTCTTGAATTCATTTGCCCTCCTGTCATTTGATGTTTTTTCCTCATTCTATTCTGTACAAGTATATATATATATATATTCTTAAAGTAAGAAATGCATTGAAGATTTATGCCCAAGGAATATTTTTTTCTGAACTGACCACAGAAATTGTATTTCTAAGGTAAATAGTAATAGGGAAGTTCAGATCCCAAAATGTGAGGTCATGATTCCAAGGGTCAAAAACATCATTCTTTCAAGTCAGAAAATACTTAAAAGAGTCAAAACTTAATAGAACTACCTCTTCACCCAAGAAGAGACAATGATATGCTTCAAAGTAGAGATTTTTTTTTTTATTGGGGTTGTAACTAGTCTGAGCAACAATGAGATCTTAGAGAGGTTGCAAACAAGGAAAAGGCTTATATTAACATCAGGAAGAGGCAGCTGAAGTTTCTGGGACACATAATGAGGAAGGAAGGCCTGGAGAATCTGATACTGATGGGTTGAATAGAGGGAAAGAGAAACAAGGCAAACAATGTGTGGCATACCTGTC